GCCACAACGCCTGGCCATTTTTTGGTTGCAGCCATCATTGTTGTTTGGTGGGCCCGGGCTGGGGATTCGAACCCCCCACTTTAGGTGTATGTGGCTGGCGCCTTAGCCGCTTGAGCCACAGGCGCCAAGCCAATATTTATGCTGTATTTTTCTTCCTTGAGGTATGCAGGGCCTAGATTGTAGCCTAGTAACTTCCTTGGACTTCCATCACCTTTGAGGGTAGGTGGCCCAACCTGTCTCAAGGACGAGGGCAAATCTGACCTTCCCCCTTGAGCCCGGGACCTTGAGGATGATGTCATGTCTCTTTCTGTTTTATGACCCTCACCTGCACTCCCGCCCTGAAAAGTGGATAAAAGAGAGGCAAGAGATTGAGTCGGGGGCGGGGGGCTCAGTTTTGGAGACACACTGGTGTTCCGAGTTACCCGCTGGCCGGAATAAACCCACTTCCTCTAATCAACTGGTGCCTGAAGTCTTCTGTCTGCGTCGGTTTCCTGCTACAATCTGATGATACTTGCTTTCTCCTTTGTAGTCTACAGGAGTCCCTTGAAAGCAAGGAGGGCATAATGGTATGTTTAGGGAAATTCAACTATTCATACCTTGTCCCCATCCCTTGAAAACTATGCATGGCTTTAAATTAATTAATTTGTTACATGAATATTTATTTTAACATCATTAAGTTTCAGTCATTGAGCTAGGCCTTGGGGATAAAATCAGAAATAATGCAGATATGTTTATAGAGACTTTGTATCAGTAAATTTTGCCAGTGGCAAGTACGGAGCAGTAGTGAATACTACATGGTAATGGGACACATGGCTAGCTATGTAGGGAGGCAGAGTCTATTGGTATTCTTGCCTTACAACATATACAAAAATTAATTTTAAGAGCTTAACAAAATATAAATGTCTCAGGAGTTAAGTGGTTAAGGAAAGAACTTTAGGATACTCATTTTCAAAATATACCAAAAAATTGGGTCAGACAATGGTGGCTCACACCTGTAATTCTAACACTCTGGGAGGCCAAGGCAGGTGGACTGCCTGAGCTCATGGGTTCAAGACCAGCCTAAGACAGAGCAAGACCATGTCTCTAAAAATAGCCAAGCATTGTGGCAGGCACCTGTAGTCCCAGCTACTTGGAAGCCTGAGGCAGGAGAATTACTGGAGCCCAAAAGTCTAAGGTTGTTGCGAGCTGTGATGCCTCAGCACTCTGCTGAGGGTGACATAGTAAGACTCTGTCTCAAAAAAAGAAAAGAATGTACAAAAAATTAAAGAAGATAAGGATTGACATAAAAGGCACTGAAAATAATAATTCTCAAAGTAATAGATCTCTTGAACTCAGCCGACTGTAGTTTGACTCTAAGGAACATAAACCAGAAGACTCAGATGATTTTCAAAGTACTCTTACAAAAGGGTACTGAACATACGAAGACTGTAGTGATTTCTCACCAGCAATCAAATCAAGGAGATACACTGATTTGGGTCATATAATTCACAAAATCTTTCAGGAAGGTTTGACTTTTCTGCAGAACTCTAGAGAGAGAGGTCCTGAACTTGGAGGCACCAAGTACCATTAGATGAGGGGGGAGAGGGACAAGCACAGGCTAAATGTAGGGGAACTGGCTAAAGTCTGAATGTGGAGCGGTGACCGCACCCTGCGTCCCACCCCAGACGACGAGGCTCTGAATCTGGAGGAAGTAGGAATGATTTTCATCACAGACACAGCAGACACAGAGGAAGATAGAGACGTGAGAAAAGACCAACAAGTCTTGCTCTGAAAAGGAACAGATGGTCACCAGACATTTGAGGATAGCAGGATGGCATCCAGTGTGAAAGCCAAAAACCAAACAAACAAGATCAAAGACAAACTTTACTGAAAAGGAAACAATACAGGGAACAGAAGAGTTAGAACACACTATTGAGATCCTCAGAAAAGAGAGAAGGTACTATATCCAGAAAATAAGAAAGCAAGCTAAAATTACAAAAAAAAAGAAAAAAGAAAGAAAGAAAGAAAGAAAAAGAAGCAACAGTCTGGGTGGCGCTATTGGAAACGAAATTGTGAGAGAAGTAATAAAAAATTCAACAGAAGGGTGTGGTAGGCAGAATTATGGTTTCCAAGAAGATTTCGTGTCCTAATCCCCAAAACTGTGATTTTGTTTTCTTATGTAACAAAGGGACTTTGCAGATGTAATTAAGGATACTAATTAGTTGATCTTTTAAAAAATATATAAATTTATTTTGGTTTAGTAATATTACCTATAGGATGATTCATGTGCAAAATTATTGATCTTAAAACAGGGAGATAGGGCTTAAAAGCAAAAAAAAAAAAAGAAAGAAAGAAAGAAAGATAATAGAGATATTATTAAATAAATAATATTTAAAAAATTCCCAGAAATGAAGAGCATAAATTATACATTATTACTGCCCACCAAGTTTGCCAGGGTAAAACTCACACTAAGAAACTAATACAGTTAAGCGATCTTGAAAATCTACAAATAATCACAAATCAGAATGGTATCAACCAGGCACAGTGGCTATCCCTGGTAATTCTAGCACTTTGGGAGGCCAAGACAGGTGGATTTACTGAGCTCACAAGTATGAAACCAGCCTGAGCCAGAGAGAGACCTGGTCTCTAAAAAAATAGCCCGGCACTGTGACAGGCAGGTAGTCCTGCTAAAGTTACTTGGGAGACTCACGCAAGAGAATTGCTTGAGCCCAAGAGTTTGTGGTTGCTGTGACCTGCGACACCAGCACACTCTACCAAGGGCAACAAAATGAGAGTCTGTCTCAAAAAATAAAAAAAAAAACAATAGTATCAAATTTGTGAAAGCCACACTAGATACTATATGACAGGGAAACAACATTTTCAACTTTCTAGAAAAAAAAATTTCATCTTAAAATTTATTCTCTAGCCAAACTGCCAATGTTAGATTAGAAACCTAAAAATGTCTTTAGATAGGCAAGGACTCAAGTTATTTATTTCTTGCATCCTACTTTAGGAAGCCACCAAGGATATTAACAAAATGAGGATGTGAAATACGATAAAAGATTTAAAAGAAACACAGGATGAGTTAAAGACCAGCCTGAGCAAGAGCAAGACCCTGTCTCTAAAAAATAGCCGAGCGTTGTGGTGGGCGCCTGTAGTCCCAGCTACTAGGGAGGCTGAGGCAGAAGATCACTTGAACCCAAAAGTGTGAGGTTGTTGTGAGCTATGACGTTACAGCACTCTACCCAGGGCAACAAAGTGAGACTCTATCTAAATAAATAAGTAAATAAAAGAAACACAGGACCCAGCACAATAGTCGTATCCCAAACCAAAAGAGCAACCAACATAGACTGGAGAAACAGTATAAAGAAAACAAAAATTAAAATAAATGATATAATTCTATACTCAACCTTACACTGCCAAGAATTAGAGAGCCGGGGCTGCTGGTGAGGCCTGGTGAAGGCAGTGTGGCCTGTGTGGCAGGTCGTCTAGAAAGTAATCTGGGACGACTTACCCAAGTTAAGGAGATAGAAGCCCTAAGACCCAGGAATCCTGTTTCTGGATACATGACAAAGCAAATCTCTCACAGGTTCAAACAAGAACCTGCGGGATTCATGTGGTGGAAAGGCAGCAAAGCCATCCTGGGGATTTAGCACTGGGAGAGGGCGCAGGGCAGATACATGCTGAGGAGTCCCACATAACAGAGGCATAACATCTGGCTTCTCTTCACCTGCTCCATCTCATTTGACGACTACTTCCCTCTAGTCATATGAGCTCTTAGTTGTAGCTCATGCCTCCTTGTTATTCTACAAGTAGAGCAGCCAGGCCACTTCCTGCCACGGGCCTTTGCACCTGCTATTCCTTCACTCTTCACTTAAAAGTATTTCTCACACACACACCCTTCTGATTCAATATTTCATATTCTCCTTTTTTTTTTTTTTTTGAGACAGAGCCACAAGCTGTCCCCTTGGGTAGAGTGCTGTGGCATCACAGCTCACAGCAACCTCCAACTCCTGGGCTCAAGCGAGTCTACTGTCTCAGCCTCCCATTGTGGACTGGGACCACAGGCACCCGCCACAATGCCCGGCTATTTTTTGGTTGCAGCCGTTGTTGTTTGGCAGGCCTGGGCTGGATTCGAACCTGCCACCTTAGGTGTATGTGGCTGGTGCCTTAGCCCCTTGAGCCACAGGCGCCGAGCCTCATATTCTCCTTTTTGGCTTTGCTTCCGCTTTAGCACTTTTCATATCATCTGATATATATTTTTTATGTTTTTGCTTTCTGTCTTCCATACTAGAATATAAACTCAGTGTCAATTTTTGAAGAATAAGTAAAAAATACGTACACACAAGACAGTCAATTTGTAAGAATATACACAAACTTTAAAACCACACATTAGAAAAAAACACATGTATTTTCTATGCGGGAAGGGTTAACTAGAGTGGAGATGGATGAGAATGGCCCAAGGTTGGGGTTTCGGAGAACAGAGGTGATGGAAGAATGAGGAATAAATAGGATGAACGTGACAGGGAGGGAAACACCACAGTCTGGGAGGGAGAGGGAAGGGAGTGAGGCCACAGAGGACTGATGGAGCTAAAAGGAAGAGAATGAGAAAAAATGACCTGGGAGGACAACCAGGAAATGCATGAATGTACAAAAGGAGTTAGAAGAGCTGGAACAATAGGAGGTTTTGTCCAGAGAGTTATGCCTTTTGCAATCAATTTCTTTGATTTGGAGCTTAAAGTGGTCAAGAAATGATGCCCATTTGTGTGCGGGAAGCTCAGAATAATATCACTAACATAGCCTGCCAACATTCCTGAGGTCCAGGACTGGCACGCTGGCTCAGACACACAACAGCAAAATGACCAAGAGAGGGCAGAAGTTTTTCCAACTAATATTCACTTGTTTAGTTTTACTGTGTTTTTAGACACTCCCCACTGGTGTCAAACTAGAAGTCACGGGTCCGGTTGAAAAGGGCCATGAATAAACTAGCAACTGGCCTCGTACTCCACCTTGGTAAAAGGATCTCATCGATACGTAAAAAGATTATGGGAATTCCTTTTATATAGTACTTGTATATGGTACGTTACTATTTGTACTAATGGGATCTGGCAATATTGAAGTGTTTTTGTATTTGGGGACATGTTTCTCCTATTTTCCTTTGCTTCTTATGATAAAAACAAACATTTGGAGCCTTTCTTATGTATACTTTTTAAGTTTGGGGCACTGTCTAACCAAGAAATAATGAGATGTCAGAGCTGGAGCAGTATTAATAACATGCATCAAGGTGCAGGGTGGTGGAAGGTCACAGGAGTAGTGGAACCAAGACTTTCAAGGCCTAGGCATTTTATCATCAGATGTCAATAATTATAGCAGGAGCTGGGATGGAAGTGTGATCCAGTTGTCAAAGTCCTCTATAAAGCTGAGGAAGGGCAAAGAAAAATACCAGAAAGATAATGAGTGTCAAAGGAACAGGGGTGTCGGAATAAGGGAAAAGTCCAAAAATGACTTTGTCAAGACTTGGACAGTGGAAAATGCCAAGCCCAGGGGTGGGCTCCTGATAAGGGGGTGTGGGAGAGGGAGAAGCCTAGGAGAGAACTGCATGCCAGAGGGAGGGGCCTTCGGGAGGGAGACACGTTTTAGTAAAGGTCAGGAGAAAGAAGAAATAAGCCGATGTTCTGAGAAGAGGCTGAGGAGTGTACCTTGCTCTTCTGGTTTCCTGAGTCCAAGTCCCAGACCTAATGAAAGTGACACAATCACCAACAAAGCAAGAAGAACCTATGGCAAGAAAAGGAAAAGTAACCTTTACAATTTAAAAAAATACGTACAAAGATACAAATAAACCAGCCTCTCTGAGTATCTTCTCTAAGTACCCGGGACAAGCTAGTTAGGGGGCATCCAGATTTAACAATGATAGAGATATGTAATTTTAATTAATGTCTGAAAACAAGAGAGAAGGTTTGGAACGAATTGTAAAATACCATTTATTACAGATCTTTGAATTCAAATGCATTCGCCATTCAAACACAATGAGTTTAATCCCAAATTGAATTTAAGTAAAAATTAAAACCAGGAAATCACTCTGCCTGCCCATTTTTTTTCCTTTTTTTTAATGAGGCACCAAATCTGGAGATTATTTACCAAAAAGCATTCCAGGACTGTGAAATCTTTAACTGCCTCATTTCTAGGGAGTAGGATTGGGCTTTTTTTCCTACCGTATCAGAGGATAGTAAGAGTATTTAATATACGTGAAAATGTAATATCCAAATAATTAACTGGCAAGTAATCTGCTTTGTATTTCCAGCTCATACAAATGACTTAGGGTAACTTGGAAACTACTTGACCAAAGATTGTTTGTGTCATTCATCAGCACTCTGCTGACAGAGTTCTTTGGTATAAAGGACTTTATGCTGTGATTAGATTAAACCATGACATAATTAAAAGGAATTCTCACTGCCCTGTGTCCTCATCCATGGAGTCCTCAGATATGCATGCTTATGATCAGGCTTGAAAACTGTATGTTGTCAGAAATGGCAACAGACACAGCAATTACTTAAGAAACTATTCTACAAGAACCTTTGTTATAGTTTAACACACAAATAATAACTTTGACAAGTTACTAAAAAACAGGAAATCAAATTTTGCTTAGATGATTAAGAACTACATAAACAAATGATTTGGGAGGGGGGGTTCTTTTCATTCTAAGAGACAACTGGAAAATTACCACATCCAACTTTTATAATGAAAGTAAATTCAGTAACTGGGAAAATGTTAAAACACTGAGAAAACAGGAATAGAATGCTTCCAAGTATTATGAGGTCCCAAAGTTAGCCCAAGGACCAAAAATTTCAGTGTGACTTTATGTCGTGGAGAGATTGGAGAGAGAAAGTGAGTCTGCGTGTGTGTTGAATGACATGGTTGGCAGCTAGCCCCTGCTCGTGCTGCTCAGAAACCACAGGCAACTAATCCGAGGACGACTTTAGCAAAACAACACCAGGAAACTCCTTAGGGCAAACCCCATCTACTACAGATTTACAGATTTTGGTCTACATCTTATCTTTGGTACTTTCCTCGTTCGAGCTTGCTGGAAAGAGCAACACCATCGAGTTGTCCTCATGACGTGTATTTGTTACATGTATTAATGGCTCATTTCCTGATTCTGTGAGTAAGAGAATCACTTTGGACCTCTGATAATCATTACCTCTAAGATGTGATTCTGAGAAAGCTTCTTTATATTGGGGTGCACTTGCATCTTAAACTATCTTATGCTGTGCATAAAGTGGGAAGAATACTCTGGATTCCAAGACTCATGGAGAACTCAACATTTGGCTTTCGTTTGGCTGAATAAAGAGTACTTAAAACATAGTAGATACCTTTACATTTTGTAAATGAAAGGTCAGTCGAAATTTGAAAGCATTAGAGTACTTCTGAAATAATGATTGTAAAATATGGACCTCCATTTCTATGTACTAAAAAACCACTAGGACACAAAAAAGGAAAATATGCATAAATTGTTCTCCTAAGGATTTTAGAACTTCCGCAATTCACAAGGTAACATAAAGATGTTAAGTAGCATAACAATGATGAAGAGCTCTCTAAAATTCCCAGAAGAGGAGTCAATAGAATATACTAAAGGCTGACTTTAAGGGGCCCAGTTATTATATAGATTGTTTCATTTACTGCTTGAAATAATGCTGGAGAGACAGGGAGCAGGATGGTGACATGAACTCAAGTAGGGAATTTAACAGAAAGCTGCAACAAGTTAGGTGCAAAAAAATAAAGCAATCGGTTTTGGCTTAAGGTACTGTGTGAGAATCCAGGAAGCAGGTGAGGCCCAGTGACAAGTACCTGTAGTCTCACTGACTCGAAGAATGGAAGTTTGAGATCAGCCTGGGCAACATAGTGAGACCCTGTCACTAAAATAAATATTTTAAAAAGTTAAAAGAAAATCAATGGCGTGACAGAGACTCCGTGAAATGTCAAAACTAGTAGGTTACTTGAAATTCTTGATTAGGGATATTCTTCTTAAAACCACTAGAGAAGATGAGCTTGCTGAAAGTGAAGATCTTTAGACAGAATTTGGGTAAGCTGATGTGGTAATTTGGCATGAGAAGAGAGATAAAATGGCCAAGAATGCAGGTAAAGGGAAAAGTCATAAAAATGAGAATTTCAATATCACGTACTCAACAAGATCCATGGCTGTTGTTAAGGCCACTCAAGAGCCGAAAAGATGGGGAAAAGATGTAATTGCTGGGGGGCAGAGGGGGAGGCAGACTTCAGTACAGTAGAAAAAAAGCCACAGCATAAGGAATGGTTGGGAGCTGAGAAAACACAGGCAGCGGAAGCAGTCTCACTTTCCCCAAAATTTGATCATGAAAGGAAAAAAAAAAGTCATTTTAAAAAGTTTTCTTCCAAGGTTAAGGGGTGCAACAGAGGAGATCTTACCACCTAAAAGGGCAAGAAAATGAAAACAGGCAAAAGAGATTATCTCCAGGAGTAAAATAAACTAGGACAGCATTAATAGGTTGGAAAAAATATATCATAAAATACACTGATCTTTAATTTCTCAGTCTGGTTTTAAAACATTTAATGCAATAAAAAGTAACTTGGAAAAAAAAAAACAAACAAAAGAAGTAAATTGGAAGATAATTATAATCACATCAAAAAAATCAGTGTTGCAAAGTGTTTTCATGGATTCCAATGTTTTAGCTGAATCCAATGTTAACTTGTTACTCGAATTTTTTACTTGTAAATTATGAGTTAAAATAGTCATTTGCATTAGAATTGTCATAAAAGGTCAAACTGAATACAGTTACTGGAAACTTTACATTTCAGTAACAACACAAAGAAATATAAATGGAGAATTATACTTTTAACATTTGTCACAAAGCTAGAAAGGTTGAAGTTAAGAACTGTACTTACAACACAGATTATTTTATATTTCTTAAGAGCGTTCTTCTTCACAGGTTCTTCTGTTGACAGAGTCAGCGTAGATTCCATTGTGCTGGCAGCTGCATAGACTTGTTTTGTCAGAATGAGTGGTGTTCCTTTCTGTGAGTTTGGCGAAGAGGAGCTCTTACCAGTTACAAAGCTGTGCCTGACTTTTAAATGTTTGGGAAGATCACAGCTCTTTAGTGATTGGGCAATCTAGAGAGAGGAAAAATGTTGTAATAACAATAGTATCAAAAGGTTAAAGTTCTTTTCCAGTGTATTCAAACAGCTGTTGCTTTTTCCCTCTTAGTTTACATTACATGCTAAAGATAGAAAATAACAATAATTCAATAATCAAATTTTAAGGCGGTGCCTGTAGCTCAAAAGGGTGGGCGCCAATCCTATATGCTGGAGGTGGCGGGTTCAAATCCAGCCCCAGCCAAAAATGGCAAAAGAAAAATTAAAATTAAAAAAAAATAATAAAAATAAATAATCAAATTTTAATACAGTCTGATTATTTCTTCTTCAAATAACTCCAAACAAGAAGTTTTGTTACAGATTTTAGGGAGATCTTACTTTTTATGTAAACTTTGTATCACACTTGAAAACCAATGTATTAAAAAAGGACTTTGGGGCATGGCACCCATTGCTCAGTGGTTAGGGTGCCGGCCACATACACCAGGGCTGGTGGGTTTGAACTTGGACTTGCTAAACAACAATGACAACTACAACAATAACAACAAAAAAATAGTCAGACTTTGTGGCAGGTGCCTATAGTCCCACCTACTTGGGAGGCTGAGGCAGGAGAATTGCTTAAGCCCAAGAGTTTGAGATTGCTGTGAGCT